CATACCAACACCACCCCACACCAACACCACCCCACACCAACACCACCCCACACCACACCAGCACTACACCAGCACCACCCCACACCACCACCCCACACCACCACCACCACCAACACCACCCCCACACCAACACCCGATACTTAATCAATCCCCCACACCAAGTTTTTCATCTCACCCCCACAATCCGGCGAATCAAAAACGGATTTCTCTCTCCTCTCTCAAAATATTGCCAACCAATTTCTAAGCCAATCTTCCCCCTTGAGTGCCGATGGGAGGTGGAGGGACGGGGAGGGGAAAGAGGGAGAGAGAGAGAGGGGAGGAGCATAGAGAGGGGGTAGAGAGTCCTACCACTCCTACCTAGAAGTGGTAGGAATTAGGGCAGAGGAAGACATGTGAGACGAAAGGAATTGAAGGTGTGGACGAGGATAAATATGAGACGGTGGACTAAAGCCAAATAATAGTGAGAAAGGGGATGAGGGGAGGGAAATTATCAGGAGAAATCGTCAAGCCATTACTACTATTACACTGGGAAGGGGGTTAGGATAAGGATTTGGAATGGGACGAGGAGGGGAGGGGAGGAATGAGGTCTAATCATTTAGACGGTCGGGGATTGAACACCGGCCTGTATGAAACGAGACCGTCGCTCTACCGTCCAGCCCAAGTGGTTGGGGAGGGGAAGGGGGGGGGATAAAGTGGGGTGTGGCCCCCCCCCCTTTACCATTATGCAGGAATCACCACTAAGCGCCAATTACAACTTGAGTAAAGAGCCAGCCTCGCATCAATTGAACCTCTCCGTTATCTTCTCACCCCCCCCCCCGCCCCTCTTTCCATATAACCTCTCCCCTCCATCCCCTCCCTTCTGTTGTTCTGTTGTTTACCGTTTCCTCGCCCCCGCCCCCGTAGGGCATTTGCATGACGTTTTATTATATATATATATATATATATATATATATATATATATATATATATATATATATATATATATATATATATATATGTATATGTGTGTGTGTGTGTGTGTGTGTGTGTGTGTGTGTGTGTGTGTGTGTGTGTGTGTTGTGTGTGTGTGTGTGTGTGTGTGTGTGTGTGGTGTGCTGTAACACGCAGCTGATGGGAATGTGCTACAGAGGCCTGTACCCTGTAACACGCAGCTGATGGGAATGTGCTACAGAGGCCTGTACCCTGTAACAGGTGTAACACGCAGCTGATGGGAATGTGCTACAGAGGCCTGTACCCTGTAACACGCAGCTGATGGGAATGTGCTACAGAGGCCTGTACCCTGTAACAGCTGTAACACGCAGCTGATGGGAATGTGCTACAGAGGCCTGTACCCTGTAACAGCTGTAACACGCAGCTGATGGGAATGTGCTACAGAGGCCTGTACCCTGTAACAGGTGTAACACGCAGCTGATGGGAATGCGTTACAGAGGATTGTGGGTTTTCGCCAGAAATTAAGGCTTCCATCCCGCTTGTGGTTCTTTTGTAATTGAATGGTGCTGACTGGGGGGATGTTGACATTTTCAGTCTCTGTGTGTCCTCGCTTTGAATAGTCTGTTACCAATTTCATTTCCATCGATTCCGGCATGACTAGGGCTCCGCCTAAATGTAACTTTTCTTTCTTGTAACCAAAGTTAATGGAATAAAAGCACTCTAGTGATTAAATTTACATTGTTTTAGGCTTTTTTTTTTTGGTGGGGTGTGGCGGGGGAGGAGGGGTTGAAAAAGTGTATCGCTTGCATGGGGGGGGGGGGAGGGGAGCATTTCGGTTTGAAGTGTGTGGCTGCATTGTTAAGTCATTTTGTCTAGTGCAATGGTACTCTAACTAGGGGTATGTATACCTCCTGGTGCTCACTCTAGTGTACTCACCTAGTTGTGAGTACATGTCACATTGTTAGACATCAAATCTAACACCATAGGCACGCATCCGCTGAATAACGTCAGTAGCTAATGCCAAACTGACTAACATACAAGCAACATTCAGGAACTTGAACAAATGAGCTTTCTGAGCCTACTCTAACTTGAAGCAAGATGAAACAAGACTAGAGAAGGCCCAAGTCAGCAAAGGTCATTCTGGAGCGAAGGGGACCGAGTTATAAAGTCTGAAGGAACTGGATCGTATCACACTGAAGGAAGGAGTAGCGAAGACTTGATAGCAACATAAAAGACTACCAGGAGAATTTACCCAGTAGAGAAGTCTGTACTGAAGGTAACTGTACCCGAATACGAGGAGATGTGTATGGGAACTGGAAACACAATTAATGCCACACGAAACTTCCCCATAAGAGCCGGAAATAAATGGCAGAGATGAGAAGATGTGGTCGATGTTAACTCTAAACTCAGGCGAGTACACACACTCTTTACCTTCCTGACTTCACAGCTCCCTCCTCACACCTGCTTCCTTACACCTGCCTCCACACACCCGCCTCCTCCCACATACCTCCCCACAGCTACTTATGTCTGCATCCTGAAACTAGAATCATAAAGTTAAACTAAATAATAACATTGGTGCATCGGGCGCTCACTTCTTAATACATTTATAGCTTTTTGAATGGGAAACATATTGAGAGCGAGAGAGAGAAAAAAGAAAGAAAGAGAGAGAGAGAGACGATGGAGTAAGCAGATAAGCTGAGCGACGAAATGTAAACAAAACCTGGGTTGCAGAGGTCCCCAGGGTCCCACATTTTTATTTCCCGATCCGAATACCCGGAGAAAGTGTTTACAGAAACCCGAGAAAGCCGGGCCTCGTACTGATGAAAACGAAGGGAAGCATTTGGAGCTCCTCCGCTCGGGGGATTCGCTGGGACTAAACCGACTTCCACTATTTGTACGCGGCAACCTCGTTAGTCGGCACCCCAACACCGCTTCGGCAGCGAGTCCGACCTGTTCGAACGTTTTCGAAGCTGCTCGAAACATATCAGACACGCTAGAACCCACCCGAAACGTGTTGAGTAGATTAGAACCCACCCGAAGTGTGTTGAATAGATTAGAACCCACCCGAAGTGTGTTGAGTAGATTAGAACCCACCCGAAAGGTGTTGAGTAGATTAGAACCCACCCGAAACGTGTTGAATAGATTAGAACCCACCCGAAGTGTGTTGAATAGATTAGAACCCACCCGAAGTGTGTTGAGTAGATTAGAACCCACCCGAAAGGTGTTGAGTAGATTTGAACCCACCCGAAACGTGTTGAATAGATTAGAATCCTCCCGAAACGATATAAAACCCTCACTTCACGCAGCCCGTCCTTATAAACAAAGGCCAAAGTTCATTCCATGCACCCGCCAAACCCTCTTGTTTATGAATGAAGAACGGTTTACAAACGACTCAACTGATGACGTCCGAACACTTCCGGGACAAGTGCTTCGCTGACGACTGTTGTTCGAACCACAACGCTGTAAATGCTTCACCCACGTACTACAAATACAAATAATCACCAACAGAACCTAAACATGCAACCAAATCTAAACAATGCTTAAATATACACAATATGCTAATATATAATAATATTAATTTATATATATGAGAAAATTCCTCTTTTGAATGAAACATGTTAAAATTTATAAATGGGTTAGCCTTTTACCCTGTCGTAGCTCAGTCGATTAAGGCAGTGTCTGGGATGCTCCCGGACGCAGGTTCGAATCCTCGTCACGGCCCTTGTGGATTTGTTTATAAATGGGTCTTTGGGGTCGACCGCTGGATGGAATTGATTTTGTCTGAGGACGGGTTGGCTCATGACACGAATTAGATAGACTTTAAGATATCTCAACACAACTGGAACACCATACAATATACCCAAAAAGAAAACAAGGCTGGAACACCTTTTAACAAACTCAAGCATCACTGAGCACTGCTGAACACACCAACAAAACTGGCCGCCACTCTCACACCACCATAAACACACTTTAACACGACTACACTTGCTCCAAACTAATTAAACAAGATGTTTAACAAGAGCTATTAACAGCGGAAGATGAGGTGATTGTACTGTTGTGATCCTGCAGAGGAAGCGCGCGCGCGAGAGAGCGAGAGAGAGAGTGAGAGGTGCGAGAGAGAGAGAGCGAGAGAGAGCAATATAGTTGTCAGCCGGAGAAACTGGGTTGTGCATCTTAACGAAGTCGGTTCACTCTCAGCTGGTCTAGTGAAGTTATCCCTGTTAATTTGCATACAAGAAGCCATTTTCCCTCTGCCTCGTATTTCTGGTAATTGCCAACGGAGGAAGAAAACTACGGTATTCTTTATGGTGATTCCTGTTTTTGGTGGGTTTAATTGCCAAGGAGGAACTAAACTGCTGTATTTTCTTCACGTTTGTGGTTTAATTATCAAGGATCGCCCCTCGCGCGGGGTGTCAGAAAGCTCGAACTCACTGTTACGAACTGTGGTCTAATTATTGTTGGGAATGTCATTATTGCACTCAGATGGCGCAACCAGAGGTACGTACCCCTTATTGGGACCACCTGCTGTCCGTGTCCCCTGGTAGTGCCACCTGTGGTATAACAAACCCCCCCCCTCCCCTGGTAGTGCCTCCTGCGGTACGAACTCCCGTTGATACGAACCCCACCTGGGGTACGAACTCCCTTGTGGCCCCATCTGCTGTACGAACGTCCCTGGTGGCCACACCTGCTGTACGAACGCCCCTGGTTGCCACACCTGCTGTACGAACGCCCCTGGTGGCCACACCTGCTGTACGAACGCCCCTGGTGGCCACACCTGCTGTACGAACGCCCCTGGTGGCCACACCTGCTGTACGAACGGCCCTGGTGGCCCCACCTGCTGTACGAACGCCCCTGGTGGTCCCACCTGCTGTACGAACGCCCCTGGTGGCCACACCTGCTGTACGAACGCCCCTGGTGGCCCCACCTGCTGTACGAACGGCCCTGGTGGCCCCACCTGCTGTACGAACGCCCCTGGTGGCCCCACCTGCTGTACGAACGCCCCTGGTGGCCACACCTGCTGTACGAACGCCCCTGGTGGCCGCACCTGCTGTACGAACGCCCCTGGTGGCCACACCTGCTGTACGAACGCCCCTGGTGGCCGCACCTGCTGTACGAACGGCCCTGGTGGCCCCACCTGCTGTACGAACGCCCCTGGTGGCCCCACCTGCTGTACGAACGCCCCTGGTGGCCACACCTGCTGTACGAACGCCCTGGTGGCCACACCTGCTGTACGAACGCCCCTGGTGGCCGCACCTGCTGTACGAACGGCCCTGGTGGCCCCACCTGCTGTACGAACGCCCCTGGTGGCCCCACCTGCTGTACGAACGCCCCTGGTGGCCCCCACCTGCTGTACGAACGCCCCTGGTGGCCCCACCTGCTGTACGAACGCCCCTGGTGGCCCCACCTGCTGTACGAACGCCCCTGGTGGCTCCACCTGCTGTGATCAAGCATCACAAGCAGGAATTCTTCTATAGTTTCCTCCAATAGATTTCATCCTTTATTCTCCTGAAAAAGAACAGATAGGGAAGAGACGAGAGAGAGTGAGAGTGAGTGAGTGAGAAAGTGAGAGAGTGAGAGAGAGAGAGTGAGTGAGAGAGAAAGAGAGAGAGAAGAAAAGAGGAAAGACACAAACATTTATAAAGGGCCTGGGAGCCTTCCTCTTGTCCTCAGCGCCACTCCCAGCCTCCAGAAAATTGTCACGGCAAGAACCAAAGGGAAATAATTAGTGAGAGATGTGAGGGATGAGGAAGACATAGTGAGGGGAAACATACGAGGCGTGAAGGAGACATATGAGGGGGAAGATATGAGGGTAGGGATGAGATGTAAGGGTAGGATGAATGAGTCTTCTCTCATGAGTAAGTACTCACGCAAACGAATGAGGATGTGAGGACACAATTCTCAAGCGTGGGGTCTAGTGATCAAGGGCTCCACCACGCCCACGCCCACGCCCACGCCCACTGAAGAAGATACAGTAGAAGAGCGTGATCCTCACCTCTGGGAACCTCCCATCAAGGATCCTCTGGCGATGAAATATTGCAACAACATATATATATATATATATATATATATATATATATATATATATATATATATATATATATATATATATATATATATATATATATATATATATATATATATATATCCGTCTTGGTCCTGGTCAGCGGTGGTGACAATATATATATATATATATATATATATATATATATATATATATATATATATATATATATATATATATATATATATATATATATATAGATATATATATATATATCCGTCTTGGTCCTGGTCAGCGGTGGTGACAATATATATAGCGTGAGAGTTGTAGTAAGAGTACAGAAAGTAATAGCAGGAACGGTGAAGATAATAGCGGAATTAATAGTACTTGGGATAGTGATAGTAATAGTAACCTGTCCCCAATTTCTGTGAAGTTTCCACTCTGGGGTGTCTAAAAACGCGGTGCAAAATGGCCTGTAGTGGGCGGCAGTGTGTGAATTGGCGATAGCGGAGAGCCTTCTGCTCCTCTATCCTGGCCTCGTGCGCCCAGCCAGGATGAGCAGGTTGGTGTTCCACCAAACCACTCATTATCATCATCAGTTACGAGTTTCCTCATGTTTATTCTGTCTGTCTGTCTCTCTCTTCTTCCCTTGTTTCTTATCTCTTATTTTCCTGTCTCTCCTGTCAGAGTTTAAGATAACGGGGTTAGGGAGGTATTCCATTAATTAGAACTCTGAGGGCAAAAGGGCGTGTCAACGGGGGAGGAGGAGGGGGAGGGGAGGAAGGGATTGGGAAGAAGAGTGTATTGAAAGGGGAGAGAGGGGGGGATGGGGGTGGTAGGAGGGGATGTGAGAGGGGGGAGGGAAAGGAGGTGACAGAGCGGCGGAATGGGACATGGGAATTAGAACGATTGGCCTAGCTAGGGAGGTTGAGAGGGGCCGCGCTCATTTTCTTGAGTGGGGAAGATCGCAGCGGTAGCGAGGAGGAGGAGGAGGAGGAGGAGGAGGAGGAGGAGGAGGAGGAGGAGGAGGAGGAGGAGGAAGCAGCAGGAGGAGGAAGCAGCAGCATCAGGAGGAGAAGTAGGAGGAGGAGGAAGCAGCTGGAGGAGGCGGAGGAAGCAACAGGAGGAGGAGGAGGAAGCAACTGGAGGAGGAGGAGGAAGCAACTGGAGGAGGAGGAGGAAGCAACTGGAGGAGGAGGAGGAAGCAACTGGAGGAGGAGGAGGAAGCAACTGGAGGAGGAGGAGGAAGCAACTGGAGGAGGAGGAGGAAGCAGGAGGAGGAGGAGGAAGCAGCAGGAGGCGGAGGAAGCAGCAGGAGGCGGAGGAAGCAGCAGGAGGCGGGGGAGGAATAGTACAGACGGAAGAAGATCGTGTCCAAGCACACATACATCTGTGCTTTAAGAAACAGTGAAAGAATCGCCGAACTCAGGCACCTTGGTTCCGGACCATTGGTTAGAACTCATCCCAAGGCGCCCTGGACGTAAGCCACACAGTCTAGAGCTTCGGTGAGGACAAGTGCATTACAGGTTGCAACTCAACAAGGTTGGAACAGTTGCAACCTGCAATCAAGGTGGATAGTACATTTTTTATAAAATGCAAGGCCACAGAGTTGGACCTTTTGGTCACAAGTAATTATTACAACTGATATGAAAAGTGTCTTTCATAGTCTACTGAATGTTAATGGTAAATAGTGTGAACAAAACAGAAACCCATGTTTTTTTTCTGTTGCTGTCAAACAAATATTATTTGCATGACCAAGCTTTTGAAACCACAGGATGAACCTCGAGGTCAGGAACTCTGACTGCAGAAAACATTAGAAAATAAGTCAATAACTCTACAAAAAGCAAGAAGATGGAGCAAAAGAGAGAGAGAGGAGGAGGAGGAGGACTGAAGCGAAGTTGGTAACTAAAGAGAATAGACAACAAGTTAAGAGAACCGGTTAAACTTTGTAACTGGCTGTCTCTTTAAGGAAAGTCAAGTAGCCTCAAGGTGATCATAGCCAGATATACGGAGACTCGGCGTGGGCGTGGGCGTGGGTACGGGCGTGGAGGTAGAGCACAGGTTGAAGATACAGTCGTGGACGCCTCCAATGGTTAAGGGGGGGGGGCATGTTGGGTTATGTGGCTGACAGTATGTATAAGAATGTATATATTCGTGTATGAGACTGTAAATATATATATACATGCCAAGGGCCTTGTATCTATGCTCATGTATGAGAATGTGAATATATATATACATGCCAAGGGCCTTGTATCTATGCTCGTGTGGGAGGGGGCTGGCAGGAAGAGACGGTGATATGGGAAGGGGGTGGAGGAAACAGAGGAACAGGTGGTGGGGAGGAATGGGGAAGAATCCTAGATACAGGTGGAGCTCAAGGCGGGAAAGAAAGGGATAGGTGGGAGCCGGAAAGGGAGGGAGGAAGAAAGGGAGCGGTTGGTTGAGATAAGGGATAGAGAATTCCGAAAAGGGGGGGGGGACGGGGGTAAGAGAGAGAGAGAGAGAGTGTGTGTGTGTAAGGAGAAACAGAAATGATAGGCCGGGGGAAGACGTTCTGGAGCAGGCCGAACACCAGGAAACTGTTCGGAAGAGGTCAAGAGATAGAGAAACGGTACCGGAACAGGCAGAGCGTCTGGAAGCTGTTCCGGAACAGGCCGAGCGTCTGGAAGCTGTTCCGGAACAGGCAGAGCATCTGGAAGCTGTTCCGGAACAGGCAGAGCGTCTGGAAGCGGTTCCGGAACAGGCAGAGCGTCTGGACCCGGTACCGAAACAGGCAGAGCGTCTGGAAGCAGTTCCGGAACAGGCAGAGCGTCTGGAAGCTGTACCAGAACAGGCCGAGCGTCTGGAAGCAGTTCCGGAACAGGCAGAGCATCTGGAAGCTGTACCAGAACAGGCCGAGCGTCTGGAAGCGGTACCGGAACAGGCAGAGTTTTGGAAGCGGTGCTGGAACAGACCGAGCGTCTGGAAGCGGTACTGGAACAGACCGAGCGTCTGGAAGCAAAAATGGAATAGCTTGAGCGCGTGGAAAGAGTTATGAAACAGGTAGAGCGTATAAAAAGAGCTCTGGAACAGGTCGAGAGTGTGGAAGCAACTCATTCTTAAGGTCGTAGACGACTCCGCGCCCCAACGCGACTTGACCTGAATACAGATGAGCTCAATCACGAATTCACAGGCGTCGAACCCTGGCTCCGTCGCTTACCACGGCCAGAAAAGATTCAATGTTCCACTTGAAGATGTTTTGTGAAGATGGAAAGGCGCTTTTTACACTAGGTCTTCCCCGCTCCACTGAAGGCAGCGAGGTAATGGCTGAGTGTCTGCAATTATAGTATCGATTTTTTGTTGGGGTTAGGGGTTGGGGGGAAGAGTGAAGAGTGGTTGGTTATATACTTCAATACTTCACGGGTGTGGGAGGTGAGAGGTGATTGGGGAGGTGCCAGAAAGCTTTTGACACTGCTTGACAACAGTCTCCCTATTCCATCTCGAGGAAAAGCTGGAGCAATGGGTGGGGGAAGTACTGGAATAGGTGAAGAAGTTACATGTTAAACCGGAGGCAAAGGAGCACAGCGGGAGGGGAGAATTCAGGATGGGGAAGAGTGACAAGTGGAGTACCTCAAGGATCGGTATTGGGACTCATCCTGTTCCTTGTATATGTTGTTGATCTGACCGACAAAGTGGAGTCCTATGTGTCGATTATCGTGGGCACTGTTAAAAAAAAATAAAATTAGGGCAAGGAAAGACAGCAGGAAGTTATAGCTGCAGGCGGGCCCTGAGAAATGGCTTGTCGACTTCTGCCCAAGTAAATGTAAGGTAATGATTATGAGGAAGGGAGCGAAAGCACAAAAACAGACCCCGGAATATGAGACAAACTTTTGGGAGTAAACATGGTACTAAGTCTATGTTTAGAAGCAGAAACAGAAGGGGTCATTTAGATGACTTTACAACCTACGTGATACCATCAATGACGTATGCAGTTCTTGTATGCAGCCCATATCTAAAGAGACGTAAGTGATTCAAACATATTACTTCCTATTGAGAAAGTAAATAACGATGAACACTTTAAGAGGTTTAACATCTGAACAAGATGCCAGGGATGGAAGCTGGAGACCAAGATGATCTAGAATGATGTAAAGAAAAAAGAATATATATATATATGTATATATATATATATATATATATATATATATATATATATATATATATATATATATATATATATATATATAACTGGAAACTCACACCCCAGAAGTGACTCGAACCCATACTCCCACAACTGGTATGTACAGGGACGCCTTAATCCGCTTGACCATCACGACCGGACATAAGGAAGTGATAGCCGAGGCTATATGAACCACTTCCCCGCCGGCACTCGGATGGTAATCTTGGGCATAGCATTTTATCAAATCACCCCAAAATGCTATGCCCAAGATTACCATCCGAGTGCCGGCGGGGAAGTGGTTCATATAGCCTCGGCTATCACTTCCTTATGTCC